GTCAAATTGAACAACTAAAGGAGATGAAACCAATGACATCAAATTCAGCCCAATCCAAAAGCCAAATGAGCCCAAATTCAATGATCAAAACATTCTTGAAAGCTTCAAAGCATCAATTGGATGACTAAATAATATTCAAATAAGACATGCTTATGGTCGAATCGAGCAACTTGAGGGGACGAATTCAACGAGCCCAAGATCATTGAATTCTGACATCAATAAAACACTTAAAAGCTCAATAAATGCTTCATGATCAAGGGAATCAATATGTGTCGTCCGATGGAACACTCCAAAATTGCAATGAATTTTCTCCATATTTACTGATCATGTTACTCTAAAAAAATTATAAATATATCATCATTCTTCACTTGAAATGAGGAGGAAGGAGGAGAAAGAAGAGAGCTATCGGGCTTGAAGAATCCTAGAACTCCACCTCGGCACTATCGCCAGCAAATCCACGCAACCAAGTCATTGATGTTGGCCCTCTGATCACCATCACCTGACTATAATCCTTTTGTCCTTCGTTGCTTGCCGATTATAGTTCCTCCAATTACTATCGCCTCCTTTTGACCTCCGCCGCTCGTCGACTATGCTTCCTCATACCACTGTCGCCTGACTACGGTACTTCCAACATCTGTCACCAGCGGACTATGGTCCCTTCAACCACTCTCCCAACTACTATCATTCTAACCTCTGTTTCTTGCTAAACAAGATCCCTATGATCATTAGGGGTGTCCATATTTGACACGGCCTTAAAACCCGACTTGAACTCGACCCGAAAATTTCAGGTTAGGGTCGACTAATTTGGCTAGTTTAAGGATTCGTGTCATTTGAAAAATTAGGTCGGGTTTGAGCCAACCCATTAACCTGATGTTGACCCAAATTTGATCCATCTCGTAATAGGTGCACAGTGACATAGACGTTATGCTCGAGTCTCCCGTCCTGCCCGAGTCAGCTCGCATCTTCGCAGGATCGCAACCGCAAGCCCTAATCGCGACGAGTCCAACCCATCCTGTGTGAGTTCGGTCGTAGGACTCTCAAAAAGAATGAAACCGTAATTTAGAATTCAACATGAATCAATGCATGTTTTCTTTCGATTAAAATATTGTGAAAATCATCTTGTTTAAGATCTCGTGGATTTAAGATTTATGTAAATTCATGTTTTCGTTTTGATTTCTTTTACATAATTTAATAATTGGAGTTCTTGCAAGAGTTAAAGAACTCATAATTCATGTTGCAAATTTTTACAAGAGTTAGAGAACTCATAATTCATGTTGCGAGTTCTTGTAAAAATTAGAGAACTTTTACATGTTTCGAATTTGAGAAACTTAATCTTACATGGCCAACATTGAACTCTCCTCTCAATAGATCACTCATCAAGTAATGAACTGTAGAAAGTTCTCCTTTACATCTCCTGACTTCACTTCCTTTCCTACTTTCTTCTTCTCTTATTTTTTTCACAATAATCTTTCAATGATATAAGAGAATTGATGAACTAAATGTATAACCAAATATATCAAAGTTTAATTAAAGTTCAGTCAACCCACTAGTTCAAGTTAAGTCGACCCGACTCAAGTTTATGATGAACTCATCATATTAAAATATAACTCATCTAAGTATGTGACTTTTTTCTGGTAAAATCAATGATTTCTTCAAAAAAAAAGGGCAATTTTTCATAAAAAAATCACCTACTTTATGATAAGTTATTGACTTCAAGAAAAATTGGCAAATTCTTCTAGTCAAGTCATTGACTTTTCCTAACCAAGTTGATGACTTACTTTAGTCAAGTATTGAACATCCCTTAATCAAGAATGGACTTTCATTAGGATTTCAACTAAGCCAATAGCTCAATGCTTAATTGACAAGCCATATATAACTAGGCAACACAACTATTTGTAATCTTTCTTATTAGTATAGCCTTATGTGTAACTATTCTTGCTTTGCTCAAGTCTCAACCCAAATTTATAAATAAAAGATCGAGGGCAGATCTCAGATATGTGATACCAACATAGTTATTTGTACTTGAGCTTATTTAATGAAATCACATATCTTCCACCTTAAAATCCTCTCTAAAATTTTTGTTTGATGATAAGATTTTGATATAATCACGAATAAATTTGAATTCAACAAACATATAATGAGATAATGTAATAAGTATACATGCAAAATGATAGATAATATTGCTATTTATATCAAATTATTGATCTAAAATATCGAAAAAGATGCATGATTGTAGAGTGTCATACTGTATAATGAGTATATAATCATTTATGATCATACAATTAAATTACTTTATTGGCCGGATATTTTTTATTGATGACTTTTAGGATGCCTTCAAATGGAGAAACTATTCTGTGCGGAGGCTGTACGTAGCTCTAAGTCTGAAGACTAACCATAATGCGTCACGTTAGCGGTACCGAGCGAAAGGGTGACGTGGCTCATTTTGGTTGGTCATGAATCACCATAAAGGTAGAATTTACATTCATAGCATAAAAAAATGGATTTATATGGTGGCGGAAGGTATAAATGGGTCCATATGGCATTAGGAGGAAGCGACGTGCGACGAAGAAGAGAAGGTTGCACATGAGCTTGATGGGAGAAGGCTTAGACAGGCTCGATGAGATCCTTAACTTGCTCCACAGAGTGCAAGATATATAAATAATAAAGTTTATAGATTAAATATGCAAAATTTATATTTAAGTGCTATATATTTATATAAATGTAAATCACTTATAAATTATGAAGCAGCATTTGTGAGTAAGATGGATTTTTTTTATACCAAAATTAATAATAACTAAAACTAAGTCACATATTATCTAAGATTGATACATCACCAAAAATCATCTTGATCGGGCATGAATCTCGATGCAAATTTGAATTGAAAACTTCCAGAATTAAAATTGCGGGCATTCGGAATTTGATTTTAGCAAGCTTATAGTCAAATTAAACAACTAAAGGAGATGAAATCAATGACATCAAATTCAGCCCAACCCAAAAGCCAAACGAGCCCAAATTCAATGATCAAAACATTCTTGAAAGCTTCAAAGCATCAATTGGATGACTAAATAATATTCAAATAAGACATGCTTACAGTCGAATCGAGCAACTTGAGGGGACGAATTCAACGAGCCCAAGATCATTGAATTCTGACATCAATAAAACACTTAAAAGCTCAATAAATGCTTCATGATCAAGGGAATCAATATGTGTCGTCCGATGGAACACTCCAAAATTGCAATGAATTTTCTCCATATTTACTAATCATGTTACTCTAAAAAAATTATAAATATATCATCATTCTTCACTTGAAATGAGGAGGAAGGAGAAGAAAGAAGATAGCTATCGGGCTTGAAGAATCCTAGAACTCCACCTCGGCACTATCGCCAGCAAATCCACGCCACCAAGTCATTGATGTTGGCCCTCTGATCACCATCACCTGACTATAATCCTTTTGACCTTCGTTGCTTGCCGATTATAGTTCCTCCAACTACTATCGCCTCCTTTTGACCTCCGCCGCTCGTCGACTATGCTTCCTCAGACCATTGTCACCTGACTACGGTACTTCCAACATCTGTCACCAGCGGACTATGGTCCCTTGAACCACTCTCCCAACTACTATCATTCCGACCTCTGTTGCTTGCTAACCAAGATCCCTATGATCATTAGGGGTGTCCATATTTGACACGGCCTTAAAACCCGACTTGAACTCGACCCGAAAATTTCATGTTAGGGTCGACTAATTTGGCTAGTTTAAGGATTCGAGTCATTTGAAAAATTAGGTCGGGTTTGAGTCAACCCATTAACCTGATGTTGACCCGAATTTGATCCATCTCGTAATAGGTGCACAGTAACATAGGCGTTCTGCTCGAGTCTCCCGTCCTACCCGAGTCAGCTCGCATCTTCGCAGGATCGCAACCGCAAGCCCTAATCGCGACGAGTCCAACCCATCATGCGTGAGTTTGGTCGTAGGACTCTCAAAGCTCACCCGCACGACTTCTCGCTAGCCGTGAGTCCAACCTGCAAGGCCACACTTCTTGCATGGGATTTTGCCCGGGCGTCTGCAGGCCTTCACGCCCCTGCCTTTGCCAACAAGTCCAACCCACGCGTTTTGCATCTTTCGCCTCTGCTTGCACGACGTGTTGGGTCGGGTTGACCCGAGTTTTTTGCAGGCCGGGCCCGAGTTTGATTTTTTGACTCGTTTGCAAAAAATGGGTCAGGTCGAACAATTGCAGGTCAATGTTAGGTTTGACCTGAACTCGACCCACAAGCTGTTTTTGACACCTCTACCAACAATTATCATTCTACTATGATCATACCTACCAAATGAATAGGCCAACACTCTCTTGAGAACAACTGTTATGTCATTCTCCAACCATGTAGTGTGCTCTACATTAAGCCAACACCCTCCTCCTCCGAGGAGTGTTATTTGTAATCAACCATCAATACTAGTGAAATCATTTCAATTTAGAAGACCCGTGATTTTTTTCTTTTTCAGGATTTTTTATGTGAAATTATGTCTCTTATAAATATTGTACCCAACTGTTTTATCTACAAGTGTACTAGATCTTAGTACAAAATTAAAGTGCTAAATTTTATATCTCTCAACCGCTAAAAATGTTCCAAGATGCAGCAAAGCTAATTATTATTCCTGCCTAACAGACATAATAAAAAAGAACTTCTCGTCTAGGTTGACATGCCAAATGAAGAATTAAAGGGTAAAATTTTAAACTAATTATCATTAGAACTTTAATTAGTTATTAAACCACGAATTAGAAAAAAATTCAAAGTCATTTGATTTAATAACTAATTAAAATTTTAATGATAATTAGTTTAAAGTTTACCCAGAATTAAACCAGTCTTATAAAATTTAGATGAAATACAGAGTTTTCTCAAGAATTATTGAGAGCTAATTAGCATCTTAAAATAAAGTTACAGCGTGAGATTTACCTGGCACTTGTGGTTACCGTGAGCAAGAGAACAGTAGAGAGCGAGAGCGAGAGCGTGAGAGGCCGAGAGCCAGAGAGTGAAGATACAGAGAGAGTGCACAGGGTCATTTGGGCAAAGAGAGGAGTTAGCGTTAGAATGCGAACGGGGGGTGGGCAAAAAACGGAGGAGTTAGTGTTCTCACCCCAAAGCCAGCTCTTTAGTCCCTACACTGGCCCCCCGGCATTCATGATTCATTGCCCTCTCTCTCTCTCTCTCTCTCTCTCTCTCTCTCTCTCCCACCAGAGCTTTTATTTCTGTGAGTGAAATGAGAGAAGGTTTGTGCCTTCAACTTCCCCACCTTTCGTACTAAATGATACACCCACCACCTCCCTTCCTCTGCAAAATAGCCATGCTGCTTGCGCTGAAGCCCTTGTTCTTCTTCTTCTTCTGAAGTCCGGGGTGGAATGGGAAGGCGCACACTTTTTCTTGTTTTCATTTTCCTGTGTGAGTATTATTTTGTTTATTTTTTTGTTCATGATCTGGTGTATCGTATTCTTTTTTTTGGAAATTGTCCTGTAAGATGGGTTTTGGTTATGCAAGCTTGTTTCTTTTTAATATATTGAGTGGGTTTTGTGAGATGGAAGTGGAAATTATATGGAGATTTGGGGTTTTGGTAGTGGGTGATTTATGGCGAGTGGCCGAGTGGGTTTTTGTGCTCTTATTCAGGAAAAAAGTAGTTTGTTTTGCAGAATGAGCTCTGAACTTGTCTTATGCTAGAATTTTCTCTCTTTTGGAGTTTTCCTCATCGATTGAAGAGTAGGTGTCGGCTGTTCTGAATGGAATTTAGGGCTTATGTTCTTACTTGAATTTTCTACTTATAATGTTTTAAGATTCTGAAACCTAAGGAATTGGTTTGGTTCCTTTGTTGGAGTTTGCATCATTCTATTTGTCGAGGAGATTTGAGATGGGGACTTACATTAGTTGAGTTTTGAGAATTAATACGGATTTTACATATTAAATGCTCAAATTCTTCTATTTTGGAAAGAATGTTCTGTTGATTGCCCATTTGGTGAGATGCAAATACTTAATTTAGTGATTCACTTATTTACTTTATTATTTCTTAATTATATTCTGAAATGAACATATTTTGGATTGTTCAAAGAGTTTGTGGAAACTATGATCTGAGTTTTATTTCAAACTTGGAAGTTTTAGGAGCTTATATAGAAACGAATTTGACATTAGCACTGAAATGCCAAAAACAAACTTCATCTTTGATTGAACTCTGATAGGATATAAAAGTTTTATTGAGTGGGGCTCGTTTTGAAAAACTGCTGGGTGCCTCATTTCTTACCATCACCTGCTGTATCTATTATCATGAATTACATTTTATGATTTTGTCCTAAATGTGAGGAAATGTGGATGTTATATTGTATAAAATTAATTTTTTGTTTGTTTAGGGTTTAGTGTGTTACTAGGTTTTGTCATGTTTTCTAAGCTATAGGTCCTCCTTACGATTCTTGCCATTCTTTGTTTTTGTTGTAGCATATGGTTTAATAGGCATATGCTGTGTTTTGTTTGCTGCAAATTTGTTGTGCCTAGTTCATTGCTTGAGTATGCGTGTCTGTGTTAAATTAAAAAATAAATAAATTTTGGTGCAAAGCATGTAGACTTAAGCCTTTTAATTTGGTTTTCTATCATGATAATAACATTAGTATTAACATTGATGCGAATCCATTGATAGGAAAGGAATAAATGGTGATTCTAGTTTGCTGGCAACTCCAGAAATTTGGTGAGAGCGAGAGGGAGAGAGGTATAAAAACTCAGATTAGAAGAAGGTTGACCCATTCTCATTCATATTCTGCTGTCTCCAAATAAAAATTATTTATAGAAAAACAAGATTACTAAAGACTCAATAAGAGATATTAAGTACTTGATAACACAAACTCAATCCAGATTCGACTCTAGCTATATTGTATAATTATTTGTTTAATACCCATTAACCTATTATGGATCCCTGAGTTTACCCAACCATTCAAATCGACCTTGCTTTCAAGGTTGAAGAAATACAAGAAAAAATAGATAGACGGATGTGGCTAGAGTTGGACCAAGGTGATGATGTGGATGAGAGGTTTAGGTGTGAGCAAAGTTAATGTTGAATATGGCTGGAGACATCAGTGAAATACTGAAATGTGATAGTGAGATTTGGTACAACCAGAGATCTTGAAGGATTTTTGGATCTGGATGTGGGAGTAGCAGATTGAATGAGATCCGTGATGCAACGATGATCAATTGTCGGATGAATGATGTTGGATCTTGCATTGGGATCTTGAGGTCGGATGGGTTGATTGATGATGGTGATTAGGTTTGAATTGAAGGTGAAGACGTGCAGATTAGAGGTGGAGCTGTCTTGGAGAATGGGAGCTAGCAATGGAGATCTTGGATGGAGTTGTATTTGGAGGGTCTTAATTTTTCTGTTTTTCTTTTAATGCTTGCTGGGGCAATTGGAGGCAGAGTGAGCAGCGATGTTGGTGGAAGAGCAAACAATTATGATAGATGGAGAGCAGTGATAAAGATTTATTTTTCTTCTTGTTTTTGGTAAAATAAAGGTGGAGAGCTGTTCATGAAGCGAATTTGGTGTGACGTGGAATCGAAGCAGCTGGAACAGTGGCTAAGTATCTAGTGGCAAGGCTCAACGAGCAGACCATTTATTTGAACCCATTTCTAGGTGAGGGATAAAAGGCGATTCTAGTTCGCCAGCAATACCAGAAATTGGGTGGGGGAGAGAGAAAGGTATCATAACTCATGTTAAAAGATGCTCAACTCATCTTCATTCAAATTGAGGCTATTTATAGAAAAGCAAGAATATTGAAGACTCTATAAACACATATTAAGTATCTAGTAACCTAAACTTAACTCATACTATATATTACAATTATTTAATAGAACTCAGGTTAGTAGAAGCTTACTCATTCTCATTCATACCCTAAAATCTCCAAATAGAGACTATTTATAAAAAAAATAAGACTACTAAAAACTCAAGAAGCCCCTATTAAGTGCCTAATAATCCAAACTCAACCCAATTTATCTATTATAAATTTGTAACTATTAACCCACTATCATATTATGGAGGTCCCTAAAAAACTTTTGATCGAATGACTCATGATGAGCTTAATTTCTATAATTGATGGGATATACATATTATTTAGCAGTTGAGGATTTGTAGTTGATGCCTCTTTTTTAATGGTTGATATTTATGGTAATCTCATTCCTAGGTTTAGATAAAAGTAAGATCTGTGAAAGGGCTTTTAGATTGAGCCTATAAGAACTTAAATTAATGAGCAATTTTTGTTTCACTCTAGCAAGATATGATGCTTAATTAGAAATTGGGTGTTACAGTATAAACGTACCTAACTTTAGCTTATTGATTTCTTAAATTATGCTTTTTAAATACACAAAACAAACGTTTTAATTGTTTAATACAGCTATGAAACAGTGGATTCCATTTTATTCTTTTTGCAATGCTTTCTTCCTTCTTAAATTCTGACTACCAAAAAGATTGTCAGAAAGCCATGCATTATGGTCAATTTATTTGGGTGGGCTATGAGTTTTTTCACATGAATTACTATTTAGTAGATTTGTTGATCGAATTCTTTTAACAGACTCGACAAGTGAATCATTTCCATAGATGAGAAGAGCAACATAAGATTTGTACAAACTACAAACAGCAGTGTGTTAACTGGGTTCTCTTAAGCAGTCGGCATCAACTAATTAATGAATTTTATGGAATTTGGGTTCATGTTGCGAAGAAAACAAAGGATATAAGTTCAGTGGGTGAGATTTCACCTTTAGTTAATAGTATTCTATGGTTCATGGTACATTATCAATGCATTGCAGAACAAAAAAGTATAGTTGAAGCTGATAATGACCTGAAATGAAAGGAAGGTTGATGTTTTGGCCGTGGTCGGGGATTTGAAAGTTTAATTTATATTTTAGGTTTTAATGGAACTAGTGGCTCAAAATATGAAATATTTTTTTGGCATTGCGGTTATGTATTGAGACTTGGAAGGTGATTATTGAATTAAGGGCGAGACATCCTGCATAAGATAACATGCATTTAATTTTTGTTCTTCATCATAAAAGTCTAATACTATCCTCATCTTCGTCCTTACATGAAGAAAAAAGAAATTACCGAATAATCATATCAAGAAACTTCCAACAGTTAGAAGGTGAAGGAAGGTTCTCAGTGTTGATGGCTGAATATATCCCAAACAGCAAACTTCTTAACTAGCATTTTGTGTAGCATGATATGTTATCTTGAACTATATGTTTTACGTTCTTGTTTTATATTTTCCAAACATGAGTTTTCCGGTTTACTTTTCGTGCCATATTTTTTTTTATTTCTTTTGCACATTCTTTATGATTAGAAATAGTATATATGATGTTGCATTCCATGGTTTTGCTTAGGGGTTGTTTGTTTTGAATAAGAAGGGTGTAAATTATTCCATGTGTAAGGATTTTGAAAATATTGATGTTTGACTTGAAGTAAAAGAAATGCAGAGTATAGTTTTGAAGTATTTGGAAGTCACATTTTATTTCAATTTTGGTGTATTTGAAAATTGTTAGATTTGACTAACTTTCAAATACATTGTGATTTTTTTTGCCATTACTGCCGCCATTGCCAGTTGGCCCGTGCTAACTGCCATCACCAAAATCACCTATGTCGGCCATCGTGAGCTGTTAGTTGCCAACCAATGCTGCCATCTTCCACTCACACCACCTCCACCGTTTGTGGCTGCGACCACTAGGTGTGTCAATTCAGGTCAACGGGTCGGGTTCTGGTTGAATCCGTAATTGACCCGGTGCTATTTGACACGACCCGAACTCGACCCATTTTTGCAAACGGGTCAGAAAATGTAACCTGGACCCGACCCGCTGGGTTGTCGGGTTGATACAATTCGACACAAAAATGGGCTGCGGAGTGCGAAGGTAGGCGCGCGTGGGAAGTCTGGGGACTGCGGCCTCGTGCCAGGTAAGGGCGTCCGCGTGGATCTCGTGTCGGCGCCGCACATGGGGACTGCGGAGCAGCGAAGGCGCGTGTGCCCTCATGGGGACTAGCGGACTACGGAGGTGCCGCGGGCCGCACCTGGGGACTGCTGAGGTGCGCCGCGTGGTCCGTGGGGACTGGCAGACTGCGGAGGTGGGGGCGTGGCCGTGTGGGGAGCTAGTTCCCTTGGGCGTTGGGAGTCCAAAGGTGGGCTCGTGCGGTCGTGCCGGACTGCGGTAAGCAGGCTAGGGCGGAACCGCGGAAGCGAGAAGCCGGCTAGGCTGGGCTAACAGACCAGGACCCGGGTCAACTTCAGGTTGATTTCGGGTTCCGGGTCAACCCGAACCCGACCCATTTTTTCAAACTGGTCAAATATCCGAACCTGAACCCGACCCGTTTGTTAACCGGGTCGACCCGAACCCGGATTTTTCTGAGTCGGGTCCGGGTCGTGTTTCGGGTCGTGTCAAAAATTGACACCCCTAGCGACCACTCTCTATTGTTTTCATCCTTCGACTACCGTCATCAGCATTGCTGTCGGCCACTGACCACCACCATCATTGAGCTTTACACTGCAATCATTTGACTTCAAGCCAAACAAAAAAAAGTAATCACCTACTTTTATTTTACTTTTTACACTCATCCAAAATTTAAACATTGTTTTTTGGAGTTATTCAAGACTGTAGCAAAGTACATTATCTTTAATAGACACCATTTCGACCGTCCGTCTAATATGATAATTAAGAAATGATATTATTAGAGGGATTGTTGGAGTGAGGTCTATTGAAGATGATATAATTGAAAATAGACTTATGTGATTTAGATATATACAAAGAATGATAAAAAATGTACTGAAGTTATGAGTAGATAAAACTTGTGTCAAGGGATTAGGGAAGAGAATGGACAGGCCTAACCGCCTAAGGTTGCATGGATAAAAGTTGTTCAAAATGATTTACGAAGAATAGGTTTAACACCCTAGGCACCACTTAGCATAAATAAATAAAAAATGATGATTCATAAAGACGAACCCAATTGGTTTGAATGAGTCTAATGATCATGATGGAGTTGGTAAAGCTAGTTTATTTAAAATAAAGATTATGTAGAAATGTTTAGAAAAAATGTTCAAATTCAAGTAACTTGATACATGCAATCTCTTTGACCTTTTCTCCAACCCATTTAACTTTCTGAATACATAGAATATTTATCTTTCTATGTTTCATTAGTTCTATTAATTTGTCTATAAGAATACCTATATTTCAATTTCCTATCCCATTTTTATAGCTGTTAAGTTCTTGGATTCTTGTAACTAATTTTTTTAGATTTAGACAAATCATTACTTTTTCATCATATTTGAATTTCACGGATCTTTTTCCCATCTACAATAGCTTTATAGTTACCATAATTAACCATGAGTTTCTTTAGACCTAAACATAATAGAAAGGCCAATCACATCTTTCTTGCTTGAAATCCCATATCTAAAATGATGCATATTTGTAGACCCATTGATTGATGAGTTATATATAAACTCAGCCCCAATTAGTTGTATATATCGAACATTGTAATGGATCACTTAAACTTCTATCAACTCCTTTAGTTTACCATTATTTTGTTGATGATAAGGAAAATTTTAATTGAATTATCATTTTTTCATAAAGCTTCCTAGGTAGCACTGATAAAATATCACATCATAATTTTAGTTAATTCATGCCATTTAACTACCTCCCTCAAATGTAACGGATAGTTTTTTACTTAAAAAAAAAAGAAGAAATTATTTCATTTGATAAAATCAAGTTAGATGACAAGGGTAAAATTATAATTCTTGAAATTAGTCGTAATCCTAGCATGAAATTTATCCTAACATTTTCCTAGTATTTATAAGAAATAGATAAGTGATTATGAACTCCAATATTATTTCTTTTAACGTTATCTAGTTGACAAGTTTTACATTCTGATACTGTTCTTGCTATGCCTCTTTTTAAACTTTGTCAGTAATATCTTTTTTTTTTTTAGATAGTTTTACCACTATCAGAGCAAATGCAATTCTCGAATAATTTTATTTCTCAAGAAAAAAATCAGGAGTATACACCAATGAGTTTCCTGAAAATGGTTGTGCGCTCTATTTATTGCATGCTTTATATTGTTAGATGCTTTCATTTATAGGTAGTGGTAGAGTTAGAAAAATTTCTTTAGTGGAGACTTAGAAATTACATTTTTATTATTAGAAACTTCAAATAGCTTATTTTTATTAATATATATTTATTATTTAATATGAATTAAAATTTATGCATGCCCCCTTATGCCCTCTCTTAAATCTGCCTTTGTTTATAGTGATGTGTTGTTCTTTTGTCATTTAACTGTATTTTGTTCTATTTTTTAGCTCTATGATGCTGGTTTCTTGCAGTTGTAATCAAGTATATTATGCTTCATATACTGTAATATCTGGTATTCCTATCTGAACAGTAACATATTGAGTTCATTCAGGTTTACAAGATATTTTCTGCATATTGGGTTATGTTTCTGCTAATAGCTCGCTGCGGAAGCATGCCATTGTTTTGACGAATGCGAAGAAGGAGAATACACTTCTGCCTTATATTTCTCCAAATGGTTCTCCCCGGCCATTTATTCCACTGCTTGCACCTTCTCCTTTGGCACCATTTATGAACAGTACTGCACCAAAACTATCAGGTAGCACTGGAAGAAAATCATTTGTAGTTTTGCAGATTACTTATTTTAATTGCTAGTTCCTATGAAATTATATCAGGTTTGCTTAATTTCTGTAGGGCGATGCGGGCTAAACTTCAGTGTTATCAATGATTTGATGAAAACAACCGCAGTTGATTGCTTGACTTCATTCGCTCCTTTGTTGGCCAATGTGATTTGTTGCCCTCAGTTGCATGCTACCCTTGATATCCTTTTAGGCCAATCAAGCAAGCAAACGGGAATGCTTGCCCTTGATTCAAGGCATGCAAACTATTGCCTATCAGATGTTCTGCAGATTTTAGGAAGTCAGGGAGCCAGTTTAGAGCTTCAGCAAATTTGTTCAATTTATCCATCTAATCTTAGTGAAGGTTCTTGCCCTGTTAGTGATGTTAATGGGGTTGAAAGTGCTATTGACTCCTCTAAATTCCTTGCTGCATGCAAAAAAGTTGACCCGGTGAATGAGTGCTGCAGCAAAGTATGTCAGACCGCTATTCTTGATGCTGCTGAGAAGATTTCCATGAGAGGTGGAGCCTTAACGAGGATGGGAATAACAAAGAATTTGGCAGATAAAGCATCAAGTGTTGATGATTGTAGAAGTATTGCCCTCAGATGGTTATCAAGTAGGCTTGACACACTTTCTGCTACAAAAGTACTTCGAAGGGTATCCAACTGTAATGTCAATGGAGGTAGGATTACATGTAGTGCTGCTATTTGGCACTTTTTGACAGCTGATTCATGATGCGATGAATTTATGGCCTTGTGCAAAATTTATTTTGTTTAATTGTGAAATTGATTTGATTGACTTCGTTTGTGACGACTTTCTAACTGCTTCTTAAAACAGCTTTTTAGTAAAAAATTAAAATATTTTAACTAAAAAACGATTTTAAGAAGAAGTAAGAAAGCTGTCCCAAATGAAGCCTGAGTTAGACAAAAATCTATAGATTGTGAACAGTCTCTACCTCTTTCATCATTCTCACATTACTGCATATGGGTTTTATTTGTTATTTGCTAGTTTTTTTTCTTTTTTAACTTTGGGTATGTTGTTCAGATGCTCTTGGATGTGCACGATACTCAACTTCTTAAAGTAACGCATTTATTTTATTTTCTTTGCCACAGTTTGTCCGCTTGTCTTCCCAGATACCAAAAATATTGCTAAAGAATGCGGAAATAAGATAAAAAACCATACTACATGCTGCCATGCTGTGAATAAATATGTAGCTCACTTGCAGAAACAAAGCTTCATAACCAATTTGCAAGCAGTGGATTGCGCTTCAAAACTGGCTCTGCATTTGCAAAATGCTAATGTTAGCACCGACGTTTACAGACTCTGTCAAATCACTCTGAAAGATTTTTCTCTCCAAGGTTAGTGAAATTGAACATTAAGGAAGATAATATAAATGCTTGGACTCTTAGGAATTATGGTATACTCTCGGTGCAAGAGACTCTTAACTAAGGCTTCGTTTGGGATGATTTTTTTATTGCTTCTTAAAATAGTTTTTTAATAAAAAATAAAGTTTTTTACTAGAAAGCTGCTTTAAGAAGTAATAAGAAAGTCGTTCCAAACGAAGCCTAAGACAAAGTTGATTCATGCAACCTTAGTATTATAAATTTCCAAACAACTTCTTGTCATTATTGGAACCTGTGATCTTGGGGTCATAATGGAGCCATTAAACCGCTACTTTTAAGAACTGTTTTCATAATTTGTGAAATGTTTCTGTTTATATCGGCTAATTATTTTTTGCAGCTTTTGACTCAATAAGTTTAAGTGATTTGCTAATGATTTTTCTTCTTCTTTTCCTTTGCTATGGATGGTTGATTGCTCAAATTGCATGATTGAATGCAGTCGGATCTCAAGGTAAGATAATCATCTTAAGCTTAGTATCATTTGAAATTCTTTCTAGTGACAAACCATAACAAGTGGTTTGCTGGCACCTCAATCCTTTCATATTTATTACTACAATACTACCACATCTAGAGATGCCTTGTTATAAATGGCACAAAGCACTTCTATATGTATGATATTGTATTAGCTTTTTCATTTAGCTATTTCCATACCATTTATTGGAACCAATCAAACGGGCATATTAAATAATCAGAAGTACAGATGATGACCTGGTTGGATGCATAGAGATGGAGTTTCTTAAACTGCTTACATAATCTTTAATGAGTATTATCATTTTTTCATCAGAAATTGCATGGTGGAAAATATTAAAGTGTACCTAATCACGTATGACACTATGCTGCTATGCGACTTACTGAATTTATTTATCATTTTAAGTATATATATATATATATAAAAGCAGAGATAGGTCTTTGCATCATATGAATGAAACTACTGTTGTGTTATGGTGTTGGAATTATCCATTTTAAAAAAATAAGGAAGCAACAGTGGCATGTGGAATTCCTACTTATGCTGATACCTGTCCCAATTTGCGGGCTTTGAGTTTCGGTGGTGGCATGCAAGTTTTTTGCTTTGCGCTTATCCTGTTACATACTGTTTGATTTGAAAGGAATTGCATAGGTAGGCCGTAGGCGGCATGGGTTTGACGGAATTAGCATGTATGATCTATGTCTGCTGCTATTCCATGAATTTGGCAGTTCAAATTTAGTTTTTAATGATAAAATTGATGATTTCATATTACAATTGTGAATAGTTTATAAATAGTGGTTTTAAGTTGAGAAAGATCCTATGCCAACCATATTTATTAATCTTGGTTACAAAGAGTCTATAAATAGTGGTTTTAAACATATAACTCACAATTTTTGGCTTGAATAAAGTTTCTCTTTTTTATTTTTCAATCTTTTGAGTGCCTTAGATGGTTTGGTCACATAAAACGACGGCCTTCCAATGACTCAGTTAGGAAAATAGAGGTATTAGATTAGACTTATGTTAAGAAAGGTAGAGGTAGATCTAAAAAGACTTGGTTAGAAAATATTAGAAAAAATATGTCTTTATTAGATTTAAACAAGAATTTGGCATTTAATAGGACACAAAGGAAAAAAAATTCATGTAGCCGACCCCACGTAGGTAGAGCAAAGGCTTGATGTTATTGTTGTTGTTGTTGAATCTTGTTAGCTCTAAACTATGGTTCAAGTGAGACTACTTGATTATGGTGAAAGCCATCTTCTTGTACAGGTGTGAGGCCTAGTTTTATATTTATTGGGTTATTTCTTTCTTTATCTATTTTTTATACATAATTTGTTATTGGCTAATTTAGTGCTTTGATTATATTAAAAATATAAATTTATGGAAATGAATTCATTTGCTTGCTGATTTTATTTATTTTCAAATTCTTGCTAAATTTTTTTTATATTTACTATTATTTCACTGTCAATTTGGCTTAAACTCTACTGTCACTTATCTTCATTTAAAGGAAGAAAGTTGCTTGTATAATTAATAACTTGTGATATATGAATCCTCTGCTTTCCTTTATATGAAAGCATATTAAATGTCATATTACTTACATCAGGAAGCCTAACCTTAATTCATCCTAGATTAAATTTGTACCAGAGCTTTAGTTTTTCATAATATCCCTTAAAAATAGGGCTGATCATTAGGGCATTTTAACATAGTTCGAAAGGCATGGAATTTTAACAACTTTACAAATAAATTGGTTGAACTGCTGAACAAGAAAAATCAAATATTTGATGACATTAATCCAACTGAAATATGAATTTGATAATTTGAAACCTAATCGAGTTCATTGATGTGAACTTGAAGTAGATTACAATCACAATGATGAAGCAATTCATTTGAATGTTAATTTTGATAGGAGGTAGTGCAATCAACTTCATTGACAATTCATGGTCTTTATTGATGATATTTATGGAAATTATTTATGTAAAAAAATAGATATAGGTAATGGCATAACAATAAATATTAAAGTGGAAGTGTCTCCCTATAATGCTTAAATTGATCCTAATGCTATTATTGATTAGTTATTGGATGTAAATAATTTCCTTGAATGCTAAACTATGTGTGATGAGTGATTAATGTGATTTGCAAAAATGAAATTAATTGTTCAAGCTAAAATTTAGCGGATGAGTATAGAGATGTTTGGAAGGGAACATATTATCACATGGGTTGAAATGAAATAATAATTAAAAGAATAATATTTTCCGTTCATGAATAGATTGATTTCTTGATGAATTTGATTCATTAAAAAATTGCATTAAATACGTGCACACTTTAGAAGAATTATTGTTGCGTTATGAGATCATTGAAGGCCCTAAAACAACACTGTGGGTTTATGTCTAATTTGATAGTTGATATCATGGAAAAATGATGCACCTGACCACATTTTATGACCCAAGCATATTTTTCAATTTGCATTATATTTTGAGTAAATTTAAAATTCACTGTTTCTAGGAGAGTTGATACATATTATGAGAGTGCATCATTTTGTTAAAAATAATCAAGTTTAGTTGTTTGCTCTTACTGCATCCAAGAGAAGTAATATTATAGTCAATAAGGATATCAAAGTCCGAATATATCATGTCAAAACATATATTACACTGGACTTGATAGATAGTATAGAAAGAAATAGTAACGTAGCTATACCTCATATTAAAAAGAGGGTAACAAAGTAGTTTAACTGATCCTTGACCCCTTGGATAATAGAAGTTATGCTTGACTAAAGGTCTCCGAGCAAGGTGTATTTTTAAATTCTGCTTCTGGCCGCCTAGCAATAGACAAGGTCGGCAATGTTTTGCTAATCTTGTAATAAGTAAGAATAAGTAGTATCACCTTTTGCACAATTAGGCTAAAGAATCATTTGCATCTAAATTTGAGCCTCAGTTTTTATGAAGGCATGAGAATAAATGAAATCCATTTCACAGATTAAAATCTTACTAAAAGTTTAAATTCTTCAAATGAAATCCATTTCTAAAAAAAAAAAAAAAACCAAAATCCATCCACATTCACAACAATTTGGCGAGGATGAGGAATTGAAGAATAATTCAGCTTGCAAAGAATAAATGTCTTGTTAAATGTATTGCCACAATTCATTATCAATTGATTTTTTGCCAGTAGAGATGTGGCGCATGCCCTCTAACGAAGTGGTTTTGTCCCAAAATAGCACCGCTATATTATAGTCACGACCAAAGCCCGTATTCCCTAATGGTTAAAAACCCCTTTAAGTAATAAATTATAGGACGCTCGATAAGATGTAAAGCTCTTTGTCAGCTAAGGTTGCCTTAAATTCACCCCCTTAGACCCTTGGACGACACAACCTATAGTTGCTGACAATGATCCTTCTCTTAGGTTTTTTTGACTATATTCTCTGACTAAGTAGATTAGGGACCATGATAGCCCGGAACGACAGAATTATGGAATCTTGATCGGGTCCGTCATCATTCCCCCATCATTTGCTTTAAATATATGGTGAAAAATTTCAAGTCATAAACTCCAAAATTATTGATATAATAATAGACTAGGAATTTGATCTTATGAAAATTAATATATTTTTTCCCTGATTTTATTTATTTCGATATTCTTCCTGATATTCTTGGATATTTATGATTATTTGGTTATCAATTGGACTCAAACTCTACGAACGCTTATTTTCATTTAAAGAAAATAACTTCTTGATATAATTTATAACTTAAATGTGAATCCTCTTTTTTCTTTTTTTTTTAAATTTATACTTGTAATATGTGAATATTTTATTTTCTTTTGCATGATAGCATGCTCCACATCATCTTAGTTACATTTGTATATCACTTACTGAATTTTTTTGTATATATGGTGAATTTTATGCAAATGGTTTACACGGAGTAAAGTTTAAAAAAAGGAGAATGCCTGGTCCTTTTACCTTGCTAAGCTTCTTATTGCTGACCTTGAATTGTGTTTTGTAATTTCGTCTTTTAATTTCAAAAGAGGGATTTGGAACTCTTTATATAAACTACTTTATAAGCTTACTCACTAATAGAAGCAATAAACAACCTAGTGGTCACTCTATGACAAAATAACAAGCTTTCCAACTCTTTTTAAATTTCTTAAGTGGTGCTCTTTCCAGATCTGACTAGGCTTTATCTATTTCTACAGAATCTGGATGTCTCCTGCCAAGTTTGCCTTCAGATGCAACACTTGACCCTTCTACTGGGATCAGCTTCACTTGTGATCTGAATGACAATATCGCAGCTCCGTGGCCCTCTGCTTTTCAGTCACCTTCAACTTCCTGCAATAAATGTATGCTTTTTTATTTGTTATTCAAAAGTTGTTCAAGTTCTTAGTTTTACTGACTTTGTCTGGTTTGCAAAATTATAGAGCATCTATGCTGCCCTTAATAACTCTGGTATCACTGAAAGAAAATAAGTGTCAGGACCTGCTACCTTGTTACCTTTACGATGCTTGAATATAATTACATGTATACTGCATATATTTTTGTTAAAAATTCTTCTTTTAATTATTTGAGTAAACAAAATCATTATTAGGTTAACATTAGAATCTTCGACTGTTTTTTTGTTTTTTTCTGAGAGTTAATAAGCTTAATCCAAATGATTGATAAGGTGTTGGCTATGTTGATGATAAATTTCTGAATTAATATCTGAATAAAATTACTGGAACCGTAAATAATGTTGTATGTATTCCTGCCATGATAATACAATTCCTTTATGTCAAAATTTTTAATCTTTTGTTTGCTTCCATGATCATTACACATCACAGAATTCATGCTTGTGTAAATCCTGAGATGCTGGACATCATTGTTATACAAAGTCTACATTTCTATTCTGCCTTTCCTGCGGTGGAAGTTTTTCTTGTTCCTATCATGATGATGTTATAGTGGGTTTTCTTGTAAATTTTGTTCTGGCCAGAATTGATGTAGCATAATGAAATTCAAACAATTTTGTGCAAAGATATCGTGGAAACCAGTCATTTAGGATAATCTTCTTGATAGGTAATGCCGCTACATCCACCACTTAACAGAGAAGAGATATAAGAAACCAGCATTTAATATAGAGATCTACTAGTAGCAATCTGTTCATAAAATTCGAACTTTCCCTGGACTGAATATGTGCTCTAAAAAATATCTGCCCATGTTAAGGTTAAAAGTTTTTATGCGTGTAATGCTCCATTGTTTCCTTATTATAGCGCTATAACTGAAATTTTCTTATAGTATATATCAAGGTTTAAAATTGCACAATTGGTATTAAGACATTTTTTGTTTGTAAGGCGGGGCATAAGCCTTAAGCAGTTTTGAGGTGTAAGCCTTAAAATAAAAAAATTGAGTAAAGTGAAAAGAAATGTTAAAAGCAATTTTCAATATAATACCCAAATAATATGTTGAAAGATGATAATTTCTATTGAACTATGAAGCGACAAGTTGACATATATATGAAACAAAAAATTGTACAAGACGTAAAGTGGAAAATAATAAATTGTGCGAAATAGAATTGAAACCCAAATATTAGAAAAGCAAAATAACATAAAATAAAAGAATTGCATATAAGTATTATATAACATCAAGTTCAACTCCAAATTCCTTCTTTCAAGTTCCCTACTCAACCACATTTAATTCTTTAAGAAAGATGTGATAGTTGTCGACAACTCAGAAATCATCTGTATTTTTATCACTGATGGAGGCCTTTATTTGAGGAGACGTCATAACAAATTGGTCACTCTCCTGCCTCATCCTGTGAAGTCCAATGCCCACAATATGCTTCTTCATTTATTTAAGTCATCTTCATCTTTCATAACTGTTTTTCATCAAAATAAAGATGAGAGTAATACTCCCAAATTTTTAGAGGATGTGGTGGTAGTGTGTAGCTTTCAAGTGATCCCCGACGTCGATTACAATAGTGGTGGTTGTGGCGAAGGAGGATGGATAGAGGTCGAGGCATTCGGTTGGAGGTCGAGGTAATTGATAGAAAGTTGTTGTGACTCGGGGATGCATGAAGGCGTAATTTGTTTGGGCTTTAGTTTAGGATTTAAGTAAGTTTATATATATATATATATATAGGCGTACGCCTCATACCAGCAAGGCGAGGCTCGACCGTCTCAAGATCAGGGCTCTCTCATCAGACTTGACGAAGCAGCTAAAGCGTTCATAGAAAAGATTCGAGCACTGACAGCTCGAGGTGTTTTTCACCTGCCCAATGTGTTTAGAGCGCGAGGCCCTAAGGAAAGCTTCTTATTGATCATTATGCACCTTTCTTGTACCCTGTGGAGGCGTCGAGGTGTGTAATCAAAATAAGGTATGTGTAGTTTGCAAATATGTGGGCTTTGCGGGTGCTACGGAAGGCTGTGATTGCGATATTTTTAGGGCTTTTACGCTTTTGAGAAGGGCTCTAGGCATTCTTCACGCATAACGACTAACCAACTAGTAAAACACCGGCAACCTCCTACAATTACATACCTCACCACGATCAGTACAATATAACACTATATTATAATATATATATATATATATATATATTATATATATATATTATTATATTATATATAATTATATATATATAATATATATATATCATAATATATATATATATATAATAATTTTTATATATATTATATATTATTATATGGGTGTCAATATTTGACACAACGAAAACCCGACCCGGGAAAATTCGGGTTGGACCCGACCCGATTCAAAACGGGTTCATGTTCGGGTTTCCAAAAATTGACCCGTTTGAAAACGAGTCGGAGTTCGGGTTGACCCGACGGGTGTCGGGTCAACCCGCGAAACCCGTTGAATTTAAAATTTTTCATTTTTCAAATCCCGCCCCTGCCCGAATCGGCGAATCCCGCGTGAGGACCGGTCCGGCTTCCCCCCGCTGGCGCGTGACGTTGCCAGCGGTCTGGCTGCCCGAGGCGCTGCCGCTTCGTGAAACCCCCGCGACCCGCGGACGCGGAACGCATGCGGATCCCCGCCCCAGGGCCCTGTCCGATTCCCGCCCCGCGCAGCGGCGCTGCTGAAACTGATCGCGAATCCCGCCCCCGGCGCTGCGAATCGATCGCGAATCCCGCCCCGGTGTCCGAATCCGATCGTGAATCGCCGCGTGACCGCATCCCGTTCTCGTGACCGCTGCTCCCTGGCCTGCGTGTCCGCGGGTCGGGTCGGGTTGACCCGAACCCGAAGCGGGTCGGGTTCGGGTTGAACCCGATTAGTGCCAGGTCATTTCCGGGTTCGACCCGAACCCGACCCGGTGACCCGAAATTGACACCCCTACTATATATATATATATATTATTATAATTATATTAGTATATATATATATATATATATATATATATATATATATACATATATATATGTGTGCGTGTGTGTGCGCGTGCGTGCGTGCAAGAGAGCAGCTATTCAACATACATTCTTGATATGTGTACAAGAGAGTAGTTCTCATATTTGGGTAGCATTGCTGATTTTGCAAAATAATTTATTAAGGCTAAAAAAATGAAGTGTATTCCTTAGTTTATAGGCTTATTGTATTGCATTAACTTTGTCAGTTGCCACTGCTATAGTGAAGAGAGTATTTTCTATAACGAAAATTATTAAACATCGATTACGCACTAAATTGTGTGATGACTAGCTCATCGATTGTCTAGTGTTATATATTGAGAAAGAAGTATTTGACTTGATTTCAAATGAAGTTGTAATACAATATTATCAGCAAATGCAAAATAGAGTGCTAAGCTTGTAATTTTTTATTTAATAATTATAATGCAATATAAGATTTTGTTTTGAATTTTGTCTTATATATATATTTTTATTTTTGTATGTCCCCCGCCTCCCAAGAGTTAAGGCCGGTTCCGACTCTGAATAGCATACTAGTATTAATATATTTGGAGCGAAGAAACTCCAAATTTCTATAAAATAATTGTTCCACCTACCAATATAAGATGTCCACAAAATTAGATTATTTAGATTCTCGAAAATATTGATGACTTCTCATGTTGACCTATGTTAAAAAAAATGAACTCTAAAGTCGTAGTAATGATCTGATAACATTTAAAAACCATTAATGACAGTGATCTAATAATTAATTATTTTTATTTTCTTAAAATTTCAAAATTCATAAGAATTTTTTATAAATTTTTGAAATTCATCCCAAAGCATGAAATTACTCCTAATTCCTTAAATAATTGATTAATTTCATGCTCGGATATTATTTCAATCAAAATTAACAAATTTTAAGTGAACTAAGGAAAAACCTAATTAATTTCTAATCCTTTAAAGTTGAGTCATAAATATTCAATTGGGATTTATGCATATTTGTAAGTATTATCGCATTATCCAATTAAAGACGATTGAAGGTAAATTAATTTGCATCCAATAGTTCTTATTCAAGCTGTTTGATTTTTGCACCATAATTCTTCTCAACTCATAGTGATGGCACTGAACAACTTCTATCTTCAGTAACCACTTGATGCCCAAGCTCTCCACTATACTTTAGGGGGGGATGGATGCACGATCTCGTAGCTAAATAAGACCAATTTGCTTTGGCCTGTTTCTGCTAAACTCCATGTTATTGAAATCATTACACCTGAATTTTAATTAGCCACAAATGTAAGCTAGATATTGTGACATTTGACATGATGTGACTTAGGCGCAAATAAACTTAAGAGTATGACTGTCTGCATGAACCTGAGTTGGTAAAAAGAGGATTTGATCGCCGTAGTGATGTATGAGATCTCATACATAATCAAAGAAGGAAAGTCGAGAGAGCATATGATAAAAAAAATTTATTTGGAAAATTCCAAAAGAGTACCATAGGGGCTTCCCTAATTGAAATATCTTTCACTAAGTTTTTTGGCATACGTTGTAGAGGATTGTCTTTCCTTGGACTTGGAGACGGTGCTATACAATAAAATACAATTTAAATTAAGTTTTTCTTGGTATTCTTCTGGTTAGAAATGTAATAAAATTGATTAGGTGGATGGAGGTGATCACATTTATCGTCTTCGTAGGGGCAATGATAGTATGATCTTTAGGTGGAAGATTTGGGCAGCGTAAGAATGGAATGAAGGTTTTTAAAGATAGTTGAATTGATCTTCCCTTAATGGTGGAGATGACACGATTTGAGAGCGACAATAGACTTAGTTGAAATTTGGAGATTTTGCCATGAATAGTGGCAATGGGCAGTTAGAATAATCGTTCTTTTACAAGAAATAGGGGATTGAATGTTTTACGGTCATCATATGATTGAAGAAGATTAGACATCCCCTTTCTTAAAGGGATGGAGGAGCCGAACGCTAGGAGGCATCAAATAATTGAAGGAGATTAGGAAAATCCCTCACTTGTAAGGAAAAAGAAGAGATTGGGTAGGTAGAAATCAGCGGGCAATAGAGGGTAGCCGATGCAATCATTCTCTAAAAAGGAAGGGAGACTAGGCAATTGAAAATAGGCGGGCAATGAAGTACAATCAGTGTAGTCTTTCTTTTGGGAGGGGAGAATATGCGATCAGATGTCAGCAAGAGATAGACGAATGTTTGTATATTCATCTCCTGAAAGAGTGGGAGATTGGGACAGTGATAGTTTGCGGGTGATAAAGGGTAATCAGTGAAGTCATCTTCATAAAAGGCTGCATGACTGAAAAACAACAAATGCTATAAATGGTGGTTGAGGAAATTCTACTCTTAGAAGGAGGGGGAATAAGAGCATTATTTAATGATAAATGGCGGAGGGTGGTCAGGATAATTCCTCTTAGGGCTGCAAACGAACCGAACCGAGCCGAGTATGTGAGTGTTCATGTTTGTGTTTGTTTAACATTCGCTTGTTCATGTTTGGTTCGTGTTTGATTCGAGCTTTATTATTTGTGGCTTTAATCGAACCGAACAACGAGTAGTTCGTCGAACATTTGGTTCGCTTGTAGCCCTAATTCCTCTCTTGGAAAGAGGAATTGGATGATTGTTTGGCAGTGAACGGGATGGGGATGATCGAGGCAATTCCTTTTTTGAGTGGAGGAATTGGATGATCAATTGGCCATGAATAGTAATACAAGGAGGATCTAGAGAACATCAGCACGGTTATTTGGATTTGTAAAAGTTATCATAACACTAGAGGGTTCTATAATTCTATAGTTTAGAATGTGAAAAAGTAGGAATCATGAGTGCTTCTTCTTGACACAAACCAAAGCTTAGAATTACATTGTCAAAATCTCTCACCATTTCTTTCATCATATAGATGCTCTAGACGTTGAAATAATATGAGGAGAACATCCGGTAAACAAAATTTCAATCATATTTCACTTGTGTAGACAAGGGTGGTTTTGGAATCACTCCAAGTGACAGATCATTGCACCAGCCCTTGGTTTTACTATAATGCTTAATGTATTATCAACATTTCATCATGGTAAAACAACAACAACATGAAGCCTTTATCCCACTATGTGGGGTCGGTTACATGAATACCTTTTCTCCATTGTGTCATGTTAAAAGTCAAATTCTCATTTAAGTCTAATAAATAAATGTCATTTTTAATATTTTCCAACAAAGTCTTTTTACGTCTACCTTAACTTTTTTAACATAAGCCAAATCTAAGACATCTACTTCATCGGAAGGCTGGTGTTTTATGTGATCTAATCATCTAAGGCGTCTCTCTCCAATCTTATCTACCATTGGAGTGACCTTTTAAGCATTCTATCACGGTCACACACAAAAATTAATGTGAATTTATAACTTCAAAACACTAAGACGGCTGTCCAAAAACTTCAAAAAAAATTTTGAAGAAAAAATGGACTCCTTTGCATGCTAATGGTTGAAACAATCTTCTTGACATAATGATTCCAATGACAACAATAAGACCTAAATCCAAGCTCAAACAAGCCGAACCACGATTAATGGATTGAATCGAAGCCCACATACCCTTTCTTCCCTCCCTTTCACGTTATGCTTTGGAAGCTTTCCTTCCTTTTTTTTTTTTTGCTTTTCTGTGGAAGTGTAGCTATATCTATGACATATCCTGCTTCCAAAAGATTATTTTGACATCGATGTTGATTTTGCTATAGTTGTTCTGAAGTGTCTAGAGATTATTGTTGACGTTGTGAGCTGTCATATATTTATGTATACATTAGGCAATTTAATCACCAGTTATGCTTTCTTTTGATTGGTTAGTTGAAGCCACCTGCTATACATTGATGAAAACTAGTTGAATTAGCTATGCTGAATAACATGTTTAGTACATGTTTCTTATTATTCATTTTTCTTATCTTCACTTTTTCTGCCTCCGGGGTACTTAATGAACTTGTTTGTTGTTTCATTTTGTTTTCTGCAGCAACTAATTATCCAGAACTTCCAGCTGCAACATCTGCGCAGATGGGTAAGGATCTTAAGCCCCCGCATCCACCCCCCCCAAAAAAAAAATTCTTGTTATCACAGTAAACTTCATGTACATCTCAGAAGAATTCCGTACGGAATATTATTCTTTTTTTTCTAATCATGCTGTACATTATATGTTTACAAACTAGATAAGATTTATTTTAGCCAATCCCAAATAGTTGGCATAAATCTACTGATGAAGATGATAAAAATTATTAGAAAAAATCTACTTTTTATCTGATTTTTGATGTTTTATATGAGAGTTAACAAGTGTCTATGTCCAAAAAGTGTACTTTGGAGTTGATCTTTCAAGTTTTATATAGTCCGGGATTTGTCTCTTAGCAATCTATTAACTAAATCAATGCTACTATTTTTAAAAATCTCAGCTTCATGCTGTGGACTTAATATAGCTGAAGATCAAACTGCCAGTTGTTTCTTTATAAAGACCAACTCTTTTTAATTCAATTTGTACTATTTGAGCATATGTTATGTGTTATGTATTAGCGTAGGAAATATCAAATTAGGAAAGCACCTAATATTTGCTGAATAGTATATGCTTATTTAGTTGTTCCTTGGAATATTATACTTGTTCATCTATTATAAATAGAGGGGTCCTCTAATAAATAAGACATAAGAAAGACTTTTCTCCTCTATTGTGGTGTCAGAGCATAGTTGGTCTAATCCTAGTTAGGACACATGCACACCACTCATACCTTCTCCAGTCAGTCCCCCTCCAATCTCCCTTCTCAGATCGTCCCTAGCCTTACGCCCTCTCACCTCACCATTCTTCTATACATCTTCATCATCGGCCTCACCCGCATGATTGTGTCTTATTGTTGTGCCCCCACTCCTAATCTTTCCCAAAGTACGTTGTACTCCCCCTACCCCCACTATTGCACTTGGTCATTGATGATGTTGCCACTACCATCCACACACTTCTTACATCAACAATCCCCATCTTTTCGAATTCTCTCTCTCTCTCTCTCTCTCTCTCTCTCTCTCAAAGTGTCATTGGCTCTCAAGAATTCAAAACCTTCCTCCAATATCAATTATGCTATCAAATTCTATGGTATAAATCATGTTCTATGGTTAAGCGGCTTTCACTTAGTAGTTTTCAAAACAAGCTCCATCAACTTGATGTTTATCTTCCAAACCACCATGATTATCAAGTTTGGAAGGTGACAAGCATCCGATTACACTGTTCTTACATTGGCTACTCAATTATCTTGAACCATCCATTGCCTCCATTATCATGTTTCAGGTCTCTATCAAAATGATTCATGACGTTCTTCATTACACCCTACTTTTAGAAAGCAACATTTAGTATGTTTACATTTTTTACTCTAAGATAATTCCTCATTAGCAAAATGATATGCATATTCAAAAATATTATAAAATATTTAGAAGAAAGTGGGATGAGTTACTTCAATATCGCCCATTTACTACTAATCTGATTGTTATGCAGAAACAAAAGCTAGAAGCTCTTGTAAACAAATTTATCTTGGGCTTATATCTGATGGAAGATTTTTTTGGCTCCTAATATTGTGATTCCTCTCTCTTGGATTTTCCATGCTCTTAATTCCTCAACCTTCGATTCCTTGACCAATTAGCCTTGGCCATTAGCTTTAAGGGTGGTCGTGAGAACTATGGATGTGGTATCCAAACTAATGGTGTAGAAGGGAAGTAAAAACTGTTGAATATCAGAGAGCAGCTGAACAGGCAAAATAGAAGTAGAAGGGAAGTAAAAACTGTAACGTTTGCATTACAAAATCATCTCATTACAGTGCTTGTAATAGTGTATATATAGAATGATTAAGTACAGCTTGTTATGCCATGTAGCTCTGCACATGGGAATAACAGAGTGCCTGCATTCTCTATTATGGTATAGTACAACCATTTATTTACATGTGCTAATAGCCTCTCTCAAATTAATGATCCATGGAATGGATTGTTAATTTGCATCAGAGGGCATGAAAATGGGTTTCTGAAAGTGTCTTTGTTAAGATGTCTGCAAGCTGATCGAGAGAGTTGATATGATGAACTGCAATCTCCTTAGACTTGATGTGGTCACTGATAAAATGATAATCAATCTCGATGTGCTTTATTTTGGCGTGAAAGACAGGGTTGTTTGTTAGAGCCAAAGCTGAAGCGTTGTCGCAGTGTAGAAACGTAGGAGAGAGTTGAGATGCTTGAAGTCAGCTAAAAGACGTCGAAGCCAGATGATATCTGAAGTTGTTGAAGCCAATGCTCGATATTCAGCTTTTGTGGAGGATTTGGCCATCGTAGGTTACTTTTTAACACTCCAGGAGATAAGCCCTAGAAAGGTGCAGTAACTTGTAACCGACTTGCGGTCGGAGGGATCAGTCGCCCAATTAGTATCCACGAATGTGCTGAGCTAGAGATTGCTGCGAACGAGGGGAAAATCGTATTGGAGAGTTCCTCGAATGTACCTTTGAAGTTGTTTGCGAGATTGGTAATGACGGTTGGTGGGATTGTGCATATGTTGGTAGATCTGGTTGGTAGCGATTGCGATATCTGGTTTAGTAAAAGTGAGATATTGTAGAGACCCTGCGAGTTGACGATAAAGTCGAGGATTTTCATATAGATGATCAGCTTGTTGACACTGAGAAGGTTTGGTGGGCATAGGAGTGAGTGTTGGTTTGCATTAATCAAAGTCGGATTCCTTTAGGATGTTGCGAGCATAGTGTGTTTGAGTAAGGAAATAATCGTGAGAGTTGTGAACTATTTGAATGCTCACAAACATCGAGATAGAGCCGAGCTCTTTGACATATCATCTACATACATCAGTAGATAAATTTGTACCTTGTCATTAGAGTAGATGAGGAGTGAGGGATCTAATTTGTTGAAGGAGAAGCCAAGACGAATGAGCATCGTAGTAAATTTGTGAAACCATTGTCTCGGAGCCTGCTGAAGGCTATAGATAGCTTTGTGAAGCTTCTAGGCGTAATGTGGAAATTGTGCATCAAGAAAACCTGGCAGTTGACGCATATAAACATCTTCCTATAGTTCACCATGCAAAAACGCGTTGGAGACAGCTAGCTGAGTGACTCGCCAGTTGCGTTGAAGAGCTATAATGAGAAGAATGTGAATTGTTGGGATCTTTGCAACCGGATTGAAGGTCTTCTGATGATCAACACCCTGTTCCTGAGTGAAGCCCTATGCTGCCAAACGAGCCTTGTAGTGATCAATCTGACCGTTGGTTTGAAGCTTTGTTCGGAAGGTCCAGCGGCAGCCAAGCACTGGCTTGTTGGTGGGAGTTGGGACCAGTGACAACGTGCCCTATTTTTGCAAAGCTTGAAACTCAAAGGAAATGGCGAAACGCCAATGTTCGGATTCATCACCTTCAGTGTAATTGGTGGGAGTGGGAGTGGGAGTGGGTTGAGAGGTGGCTAGAAGATCAAAGATTTGTTTGGGTTTTAGATGTCTTATTTTAAGATGAGTTTGCATGGGTGAGCTGAGATAGGTAATGACATTATGGGATGACAGAGATGGGAGTAGATGCTGAGTGGAACATAATTGGTTCGGTGGCAATATGGTGAGACGAGGAGGGAGAAGGGATGGTTGTGGAAGAGGATGGAGAAACTGTGGTAGAGCGGGCTTTAGTGGAGTGTGGAGAGGTGATAGTGGAAGTTGGAATAAGTAGCAGAGGAGAAAGAGGCGCTGATGGGAACGAAACAGTGGGAGATGTTGGCGGGGATACAATTCATGAAAGGTAACATGTCTAAATATATGAATTTTCTTAGTATGAGGATCAAAGCACCTATATCCTTTGTGTGAGGTAGAATAGCCTAGGAAGATGTAGGGTTGAGAGCCAGGATAAGTTTGTTGGTGGAAAGATGTTTCAGATGGGGAAAGCAAAGACAACCAAATATGCGTAGATGACTGTATGAAGGAAGATGGCCATGTAGTAATTGAAAGGGCGTTTGAAAATTGCGGGTTGTGTAGGGAGGATGTTGATAAGATAGTTTGAAGTGAGTGCAGTCTTAGCCCAAAATTGAAGCAGAAGGTTAGCTGCGTGAAGGAGCATGCTGGTTGTGTCTAAGAGATGACAATTTTTACGTTCCACAATGTCATTTTGTTCTGGGGTGTCGGGACAACTTAGTTGGTGCAGTATTTCTTGAGTTTGCAAAAACTGCATGAAGGTGGAGCCGATGTATTCGCCACTTCCATCAGAACGAAGATTTTTAATTTTACAAGTGAATTGGGTTTCGACAAGTTTAATGAATTATTGGAGTTTGGTTAGAGTTTCTGCTTTGTTATGAGTGAGAAAAAGACAACATAATCTGCAATAATCATCAATAAATGTCACATAATACCGATACCCATTTAGGGATGAAAGTGCGATCGGACCCCAAACATCCATGTGTATTAAAGAGAACGGAGAATTTATAGTGGTAGAACTAGAAGAAAATGACAATTTGTGGCTCTTGGTCATTTTACAAGACTTGCAGAGAATGTAAAGAGTAGAGATAAATAGAGATGGTTGAAGTTTAGTTATAGTGTGCATAACTTCCTGATGTGGATGTCTGAGGTGAGCATGACATAGGAAGGTTGACGAGAGGGTGCTATGAAATGCTATGGTAGGATTGTTGGGAGATGCTTAAACTTGATGGAAACCTTCACGACTGCTACCACAAAGGAGAATGTGGTTGTCCATAAGGTCCTTGATGATGAAGCCTGTGGAGTCGAAAGATACGGAATAGTTGTTGTTAGATGTAAGTTTATGAATGTAAAGCAATTTATGAGAAAGTGAGGGAACATGTAGAAGATTACGAAGAAATAGGTTACGAAGGGATTCAGGAAGGGGTAGGATGCCTTGGCCACTGTGGTGTATCGGAAGAGAGTTGTCGTTGGCAATTGAAACACTGTATACGCCTTGATAAGGAGCAGATTGCTGAAGATTGGAGGCATCAGCTGTGAGGTGATTTGTGCGTTGGAGTCTAGCACCTAGTTGGAGGAGGTGGAAGATAGCTGCGGGGA